TGTGCTGCCACCACCTGGCTGTTTGCTTTCTAGTACCAACTCAGGACCACCTGCCCAGTGGTGGCAATGCTTATATTGGGCTGGGCCCTTCTGCAAGGATCATTAATTAATACCCCATGTAGACAAGCCATGACATGAGAAACTTTATTAAAGTCAATGCATTAGGAAGTTTGAGAAGCAATGTTTTTAGACTTTTCATGGCCTAAAAAACCATAAATCTACAGTTCCTGCTATTAAAACCTTCATCAGGCATAATCCATGTCAAATTCTGTTGGAGAAATGATGTAATAATTAAACTATATTGATATAATGAATAAGAGAAAGGTGCTGGTCCTAGGGAGAACTAATGAAACTTTCATCTATTTTTGTTTTTGTATCATGGTATGCTCCCTTTCTTAAAACAGACAAGTTGCTTTGGTTAAATTAAACCTAACACTCAAACTTACATAGTGGGAATAAGGTGGTGATGTTTCATTACAACATAAACACATACCTAATATAATAGGCCATAGTTATGAAAATCAATATACAAGAAAAACCACAAAACCTTTAATTTAAAAGAGACAAGTCCAGGGCATGCATTTCTTTAAAGATAGATTTATTTACCCGCTTAAGAAAACTGCTGGTATGAAGCTTCTTTTTGTTACGATGACACATGTTCAAGGCATACTACTTTCTAACCAAACATTTACCCTTCGCCACTGGTGAAAGGCAACAAGATCTTTTTACAAAGTCTCATCTTTTTCAATAAATTTTGCATGAAAACATGTTATCTTGGCACAAAGTTGCCTGCTGTCACATTGGAAGTGTGATAAATGTTTAATGAAAACAACACCACACAGCTTGATGTCAGACAACAGCTATCACACAGCCCTGCTTTGATCCAAACAGACACTTAAAAGGAGTTCTAAGCATGCTCTGCACCACAGAACTCTATAACCTATATGCAAATTAGAGCAAATTAGCATAAGTGACTTCCTGCTGCATAAAGAAGTAAGAGGTAAGGAAAAACATGACAGGCTTTGTAAGTATGCAACTGCTGTCAAAACTCAGAGTCCAGCTTTCCCAAATCACTTCCAACATTTTCTGCCAAACATCAGGTAGAGGGGGAAGAAATACATTCTCAACAGGAATTGCACATGGAACTCAAACACTGGAAGGCTGCCAAGGTAGATGTGCACCTTATAACCCCAAGTTATGATTAGTACATTGTAATAGTGCTCTGATACCTGCTTCTACACTTTCAGCTTTTATACTACCAAATCCTCATTTTACAAAAGAATCAACTGTATAATCAGAGGGAGTTCTTAACTTTCACAGAAAGTATAAAGTTTAGAAAGTCATAATATATCATTAGAATATAAACTTAAGTCCAAATGTCTGAGCAAATATTCCAGAAGGCTTAGTACTTAAGCTAGAACACTTTCTTGTCTACTCAGCCAATTGTAAGATAATAATGCTGAAAACCCTCTACAGAGATGGTCACGCTTAGGAAAACTAACTGTTCCATATGAATTTAGCCTGACTCAAATTAAAATGATATAGTTGTAGTCTATGGCTTGCTCTATTCTGTGCAGCTGTAATAGAATACCTCAGACCCGAACTTACTGACATAGAGCTTGAAGGCACCGTAGTCAAACATAGCTGGATAACTTCCAGAAGGACCTTCTTCGCTATTTCATGGCAGAAAGGTAAACAGAAGTCAAGAGAATACTTCAAAAGAAATCTACTACTTCAGTGACAAAGCCCACTCTACCATAACATTGTTAATCCACTTTAAAGTAAAGTTTTCCTGGCTTAATCACCTCTTAAAAGATCTCATGTCCCAACAATACTGCACCAAATCTCCAAGAACATAACACATGAATTTGATGGGCTGGGGAGATGAGACATTCAAAATACATCAGTATTCAATAACCACTATAAAAGCAATTCTTCTTTTTCTGCATAGTGATTTAAATAATGATTGACGATGGATTTAAATTACATCCATTTATATTCTACTCTTGAAGGTGGCACTATGGTAACAGAATAGTAGAATGATGGCTACTTATTCACACACAGTTTTCTAAAATGCTTCAAAAGATGTTCTAAAGAAGTTAACTATGTATTATTGCATGTGGATCAAGATGTTGGTTAAAAACAAAAACAAACAAACAAAAAAAAAAACCCTCATATATTAATCCATGAGCAATGCTGCTGAGATACATATGTTCAGTCTCATCACACCAAGTTGCAAGTATGAGACCCTGTGATGTTTTGAATTTCTGAGTATTGTCTCTCAGTAACAGTTTAAGATATAAGTAGCAAGATATCCCCAGTGAAACAATAATGGTATTTTTATCTTGGGGGTGACCAACAAGTGTCTAATTGGACTAAAGGCATGTTTACCTCAACCCCCAATTCTCATTATTTGTAATTATGGTACACCACAAAACAGAATACAGTATGCAGTTATGAGAAGATACAGTTTGGATTAGAAAACAAATGACAATGGATTAATCCACTGATGAGTTCCTATTGAATGGGCTAAGCAATAAGTATGACCCAGATGGGGAAAGTTGCTGGAGGAGCTGTCTTTGGCAGTATAACTTGCTTCTGCCCCTTATGACCTCCTTCTGTCCCTCTTCCTCTTAGTCTCTGCATCATGGATTCCAAGAGATTTTCTCTAACATTCCCCTGTACCATATATGTAGGCACATAGGCCTAAAAGCAACAAATCCAGGGAACCATGGGTTGAAACCTCTGAAACTAAGAGCCAAAACAAACAAACAAAAAAGAAACTTTTTTTCCCTTTAAATTAATTTTCTCAGATATTTTGAAATAGCAATAATAACAACAAAAATAGAAAATAGGAAAGCAAATAAAGGTACCTATTTAATGAAGGTGTTAAATAAGATAACAAATGGCAACTGTTTAAAGGAATTTCTAATACTTAGCAAATATTTAAAATAAAAAACTTAATGAAATGGAAAGTAGATATTTACTATTAAGTTATGTAAGTAAAGCTAAATGGAAAAAAAAAAGAATAATTTATAAATAACTGTGCTTATGGACCCCAGTCGGATAGCTGGGAAAACAGCACAGGACTGACCCAGAGCTGCTGAATGTGGGTGTTAGGAGGACTGGGCAGTCTATGGGGCCTCTATTAGTGGATCAGTATTTATCCCTAGTACAGGAATGGACTTTGGGAGCCCATTCCACATAGAGGGATACTCTCTCAGCCTAGACACATGGGGGAGGACCTAGGCCCTGCTCCAAACTTTGAAGATTCCCCATGGAAGGCCTCACCCTCCCTGGGGAGCAGAAAGGGGATGGGATGGAGGGTGGTGGGGGAATAGTGGAGGAGGGGAGGATAAGGGAACTGGCATTGACATGTAAAACAAGCTTGTTTCAAATTTAAATAAAAAATTATCATTAAAAAAAAAGAATAAGGCAGTTTCTGACTGACACATCTTCATCTTCTTAATCCATATTTCCCACTCTTTGAAACTTATTCTACCTAAGTACCCTTCAAATCTGTCATTATACTGACTTTCTCTCTCTACCAAGAAACTGCCTCCATACCTTTTCTGAGTCTCACCTGCCTAACTCAGCCTTTCTATGAGTGTAGCTGGAAACCAATTATGAGATAGTTAATAATGGTTGTCAAGTTAGCAGAATCTAGAACCACTTAGGAGACAATCTTTAAACCTGTTAATACAGGATTTTATAGCCCAGGCTAATTGAGATGAGAAGATCTACCCTTAATATGGGTGGCACATTTCATGGTCTGTGGTCCCAGACTGAAGAAAAAGGAGAAAATGAGCTGAGAATCAACATTCACCTCTATCTGTCCCTTACTACAAAGCTTTGGGACCAGCTGCCTGCCACCATGCCCTCCTCCACAACTGTGAACCAAAAGAACTGTGAACCAAAAGAACCTTCCTTCCCAAAGTTGCTTTTGTCAGCTATTTTGCCAAGCAATGATAAGGGAAAGTATATAATATCTAACTCCTATCTCCTTTCTTATAACATTTTAAACCAGAATTGGAATTTTCCTAGGATAGTTGTGGGATGATCAAGAAAAAAATTAAATAGTAATTTACTAATCTTTTAAAATTTTGCCACAAGGATAATATTTCAACAAGTATTTAAAAGCCAACAATCCATATGGGTCTTCAAATCATCACTGTATGTGTGACATAAAAACTAAGCACAAAGGATCTGGAGCATGCTCACGAAGTAAGAGAACTTGAAACTCCGCGAGGACCAGAGTTCAGTTCCCAGCTCCCAGTTGCCAGGAACTCTAGCACAGAATATCAGATGACCCCCTCTACCCTCTCTGACCTCCTCTGGAACCTGAACACATGTGCACTGTGGTAGTTTGAATGTAACTCATAGGGAGTGGCACTATTAGGAGGCGTGGTTTTGTTAGACTGGGTATGACATTGTTAGAGGAGGTGTATGTATTACTGTGGGGTGAGCTTTGAGGTCTTCTATGCTTAGGATACCACCCAGTGTTTCAGCTAACTTCCTGTTGCCTGCAAGATGTAGCACTCTCAGTTACTCCTCCAACCACATCTGCCTGCAAACCACCATGCTCTCTGCCATGATGATAATGGACTAAACCTCTTAAACTGTAAGCAACCACCTCAATTAAATGTTTTTCTTTATAAATGTTGCCATGGTCATGGTCTTTTCACAGCAATAGAAACCCTACTAAGACACATATATAACCCCATGCAGACACACACATATACATAATTTTAAATTTTTTAAAATTCTTTTTTAAACACAGGAAAGGATTTAAGAAAAATTACATGTTATTAGAATTAACAGAATAACTTTTTAGAGAATGAATACATCAAAAAACATGTACGATACTGACAAGCCCTTACCTTCTTTTACTCCTAAAGGAATGAATCCTCAAGGGTAGAAACAGGAAGCACCTCAGAGAAAAGTGTGCATGCTGTTGTGGAATTACTAATCATCACTACATTAGGTTCTTAGCAACTCACCCACGTTTAATGCTGTGTACTTCTTTGTCCTTGCCTTTGTCCTTCTCCTTTTCTCTTTTCTCTCTGTCCCGAACTTTACGTCTTTCTCTGTCCCTCGACCTACTACGAGTTCTTCTATGACTGGATCTTTCACTGCTTCGACTGTGGGAACGTGGACGAGGTCTTGACCTGGACCTAAAACGAACAGATTTTATTAAATAGATTTAGTCTGCCAAGAATTAAAAATGCAATTGACTTTTAAAATTACTTGAATGTACTTAGTTTCAACTCTAGACCACAAAATTGTGTAAAGCACGTATATGAAACCCTATAGATAATCACTCTCACTTAAAATTACAAGAAGAAACATAGATGGTATCAATTTTAAAAGACATTAAGGTTCAATTAAACATTAAAAAAGGAGAAATTTTGAGCTACAAATAATAGGATAAAGATTGTCATGTAAGAAGTAAGACTATCATCTTGATAGCTATAGAAATACTTCTCCAGTGTAAAACTGCTGAGGAAGTATCTTCAGTTATATGGGTGGAGGAGACAGAAAAGAAGAAATGTGTGATTATGGATATAATAATTTAACTAATCATCTGACTTTATGTACAACATATGACATTAGATACAACATGCTGTGTACCTAAACTTTATAAATAAAATTAATTTCATGCTAAGGGAAAAATATTAGCAAATAGGGGCTAAGAGTTTGGCTCAGTGTGTAAAGTACTGTACTGGCTGTGAAAACAAAAGGACCAGAATTCAGATCCCCAGCATTCACATAAAAAGCTGGGCATGGTGGGTAATTCCTGCAACTTTAGCATTGAAGGGTGGAGACAGGTGGACTGGGACTGGAACTTGATTGATGATTGATCTAGGGAAAATGATGAGCTCTAAAATCAATGAAATATTTTCTTTAAAAAATGACTGAGGAAGACTAACATGAGCTTCTAGCCTGCACATGTGCTTACACAGGTGAATGCAACCTCCCCCCCCCCCACACACAGTGTGTTAGCAAGTAAAAGGTTTGTTGTTTTGTTGTTGTTGTTGGCTGTTTTTGCAAAAGGCTCCCTGTGTTACTCACACTATTCTTGAACTTCTAAGCTCCAATAATCAAAGTGCCTCAGCCTCCTGAGATGCTAGAACTACAGATAAAGAGTACCACAAGGGAACAAAGAAAAGGGAAACTCTTAAGCATTCGAATAAAGCCTTAAGTCTCCTCAAATAGTCTAACAAATCAAATGCATTTAACAAAATCTATAAACACAGTTGTCATTATCCTTAGAATCTCTTTTATCTACTATACTTCTATTTTCTCAATGTGCAAGTAAGACCATCAACCTACTGCAATCCAGTGAGTCATATAAACTGAATTATTTTATTAGGTATGATACATTATGTGCTAAGAAGTAATGAATTCAGAACATGGTCAGAGTATTGAAAAGAACTCCTCTAGTAGACTCATAAGTCTACAGATAACTAAAACAACTACAATAAGGCACAGGAAAGTGAGCAAATTCAAGATTTTTTTCTGGGGGTGAGATGGGATATAAATTATTGAAAAAAGTAAGCAGCAATGAAAAAGCTGCCATTTTATAAGCTTCCATTCTGTAGGTAAATTCAAGACTGCACCCAGAAAAGATAAACCCCAACAGAAAACTTTCTGATTAGAGAAACCATCAAAGACCAACTGGCAACAGAGACAATGAAAGGTAAATCTTAACAAGTCAAAGATGATAAAACTTCTAGGTAAATGCTAAACCACTAAGCTACATGCCCAATTCTGTGATGTCCAAAAATTTTATATGTAAACTATTTTCAAGTCTCTGTCTGAATCTTACATCATCTTAAGAGCAGACTCTAAACAGCTAAAACTGAAAGCATAGAACCAAAGTTTCAGCTGTCCCCATAAACACAAGACCTCTGTTACCTCAAACCAAGTTGTCATCCTGCTGAAACAAAGGTTTAAGATCATATTACTGAGGAGAACACAGTAGTATTACCAGTATGATATTCATCATGTCCAGACTTTTATATACACAAATCCATAAGTAAGCTCCAATCTTGGGGTGTGAGAGATGAAAAATGACTCAATCACAATTATAAAATCTAGCCACACTAGTACTGGGCATCTTGAAAAGGGTGTCTACTGTTATGACTTTCAGTGAATACAGTGCCAGAAGTCTTTGTTAAACCAATTACGCATGAGAAAGAAACAGGATATACAACTAGAAAGGGATGAAGTCAAACTAACCTAATTGTACATGACCCAATAGTATATGCAGAAAAGACTAAAACCTTTGCTAAAAGATTATTAGAACTAATAAAAGAATTCAGTAATGTTGCAGGATACAAAGCCTACAAACAAAACTCATTGGAACCAGGCACAATTGCACAAACCTGTAATTCCAAAGCTTGGGAAGTGAGCCTTGCTATACAATGAGTTCTAGGGCCACTGCAGCATGATCCTCTCTCTTAAAGCAAGGCAAAATGCCTCAGTAGCATTTTAGTTTTATTTTTCGTGGTCCTGGGAATAAAGCCCAGGGTGTTACAAATGTTAGGGAAATGTTCTACTACTGAATTTTATTTCTAGCTGACTCAGCAGCATTTTAATACACCAGAAAGAAGAGAAAATCAGGAGAGCAAGCTCATAACGATAGCTATAAAATAAAAGACTAGAAACAAATTTAACCAAGGATATAAAAGAATTCTACAATAAATGTTACAAAATTTTAACAAAAGTAATGAAAAACATAAAAACACTGAAATTTTTTCCTATGTTCAAGTATTGAAAGAATTAATAGTTAAAACATCCATAACTTCCCAAAGCAATTTGCAAATCAATACAATCCCTGTTAAAATGCCAATGGCATTCTTCATAAAGCTATAAAGAAAACAATCCTAAGTCAGTGTGGAAATACAAAAAAATAAAAATAAAAAATAAACATCTGAACAGCGAACAAAGCTAGAGACATCACAATACCTGAATTTAAGAAATAGCTATACTATACAATCAGAGTCAGCAACATAGTGTGAGGTCTGAATAAAACAGACACACAAATGAATGGAGCTCAATACTGATCCCTGAAATAAAAGGAATTCTTGACAAGGCCCCAAAACATACAATGAAGAATGGAAAAGCCTTTCCAATAAAGGGTGCTGCTGGAAAAGACATCTGAACACAGAAGATTTAAACATGACCCCCATCTCTCACCCTGCACGAAACTCAATTTGAAATGGATCAAAGAACTAAATATTAGGACTGACATTATTAGAGGAAAATAGGAAATTTTCAAGACATTGTGATAGAAAAATTATATTTACTGCATAAATAATGACATGTGAAATTAAAATATAAAATTATATATTAGCAAATATACTAGTTGCATTAATAATTAATACATTATACAGATACCAATAATTGGGTTTATATATATTTAAGTTAATCAACATATAATATGTACATAGCATATAGAATTAATGCATGCCAAACAAGAATTATTTTTTAACTTTTTACTGATTGTGGATTTCACATAATACATATTGATCCCACTCATCACATCCCCCATCAGCTTGCCCTTGCAACCTCCCAAAAAAACAAAATTTAAAAGTAAAACCAAAATTACAAAAAGTAAAAACAAAAAATAAATAAATATCTTGTTGGGGAAGCTGTAGTGTGGCCCAGTGAGTCTCACAATATACCATTTAGTCCATACACCTTTACTTATAAGTGCTTATTGCAGTGAATAATTGTTATGTTTCCAGGCCTCTGGCTTCTGCTACACCCTCAACAGTGGACCCTCACTGGGACTCCTCTTGTTGCCTTGAGTCATGGAGATCCTATAGCTTTGAATCTGCAGGTCAGACCCCTTCACATGCTTCAGCAGTTCATTGATAAGGAGGATGTTGGGGTAGGTTATCTTGTAGACCTGGTTCTGGGTCTTGGGGGTAGCTGGATTGATCAGTCTGCCAACTTTCTCTCATCATCACGATCCAGGGGAGAACTTTCTAGCACTGCCTTGATTAGCTCATCCAGTGTAGTAGACAGCAAGGAGCAAGGTCAGTTCTTTTCTCGCGCCTTCAGTAGATCCAGCTCACTCTCACTCACACAACCAGGGCCAGCTCTACTCTTTTGCCCACGAGAGATACAGGGCCCACTCTCCAGATTGCTGCACTTGGTGAGGGGCTGGGCCAGCTCTTCCATTCTCAGTGGCCCCCAAGGTCAACTCTCCTACCTGCTGCAGGTGGGAGGTCTGGGGAGGGCATAGTTCCCTTACTCTTACCATTCCACAGCTACAGAGGCAAGGGGCAAGGGCAGCTCTCCTGCTCTCATGCCAACAGGCCCGGCTCACCTGTGCTCTTGCCAATAGGGTCAGCTCTACTGTGCTGCCCAGGCAAAGTGCCAAACCTGCTCTCCCATACTCTGCAGCTTGGGAGGGGCACGGCTAGTTCTCCCACTCTCATGACCCTGGGTCAGCTCTCCTACTCTCCTACCTGCCACAGGTGGCTAGGGGAGAGGGGAGAGAGTGACCTAGAATTTTTGAAAGATATGTAAGCTACTTTAAAATCTAAAAATGCTGTAAGAGCTTTATATTCTTAATAAAAAAATATTGCAGTTTGCTAACTTTTCCTCTAAGAATACTGTTGGAAGATAATTTATTGTAGTTTGCTTACTTTTCCTCTAAGAATACTGTTGGAAGAAATATATAGCCATTAGTAGTTCACATTGTGGGTTATATATAGCTAAGATGTATTTTCGTAAAATCATATTTCCATTCCACTCTTAGAATTAAATATACTTGTTAATATATGTAAAATTAGATAAATAGAAAGTTAAAATGAATAACTCCTCAAATAATGGTTTTTCTTAAATAAGTTATTTCTTCTCTGAGAACCTATTTCCTCATAAGCAAAATGAGAGTAATGCCAACTACCTTAAGACACAATTTACCTAGGTAAATTGCACATTAATAGCCATGTAAGTTAGTAGAAAGAAGGCACCAAGTAGGCAGTAACTGACGGTGTAATGGGAATTGTAACAACTGAGTCAGAAGCATATGAAATATCTTTCTCTTCTACCACAGCTAATGCAATAAAACAGTATTCTGATTCCAAACCTTTAAAATCTTAAGCTTAATATATAGCTTACCCAAATTTTGCTGTATTTCTATTAAACAGGAAAGCAA